GGACTTGAAGCCTACTTGAATGTGAGATAATAGATTTCTCTTTGTTGAGGCCATCCACTTGTGGTATTTCTGTTATAGCAGCACTAGATGACTAAGACATGGAGGGTACCTGTATTGGCTTAGTTATTTTGCCTTTCTCCAAGTCCCCTTTTATGGCAAAGAGAAAATGAGGGCCTATGGCAGCAAATACCTTTTAAAAATCCGTCATAAACCAGTCCCCATGAAAATCAAGAAAGAGGTGAGTCAGGTCACATTTTCTTTTTCACAGGTTCTGAAGCCCCAAAGTCTTAGTAGAGATTTGGGTCACATTTTCTTTTACATAGGTTCTGAAGCCCCAAAGTTTTAGCAGATTTAACATTAATTTATTCGGCATTTGGGCATCTAGCTGCCAATACCAAGTGTTCTAATGTTGAAAATCTAATTGAGAATCTTGTTTATATGGAGAATCCTGCAACCATCAGTTTTATTAGTGTGGTTTGTTGTTGTTGTGTACCCTCAAATCGATTCCAACTCATAGCAATTCCATGTGACTGAGGAGAACTGCCCCACAGGGTTTTCTTGGCTATAATCTTTACGTAAGCAGACTGCCAAGTTTTTCTCCTGCGGAGCCACTGGGTGGGTTCGAACTGCCAACCTTTAAGTTGTTAGCAGCCTAGTGCTTGACTGGTGTGCCACGAGGGTTCCAAGCCCATCCAAGAACAGGCCCTTCAGTACTAGCTGTACTAGGTGAGACAGCTTACACAGACTGGTGGTTTCTTCTCACTGGTCAAGATTTGGCAAGTGAAGGCTAGACAGACCTTCACATTTTACATTGTAAGCACACCTAGGTTCTGTCCACACTAGAACCACGATTTGACCACATAATTGTGGCTAGTCTATTTTTGTTTCCCTGAGGGAGCATGGAGAGAAATTTATTTTTGTACAAAAGATGTTTCTATCTACGGTAGCTCAGAGTTCACAGCCACCGTCAGTGTGGGGTGTCCTTTCTCCTTCCCTCCCCTGCCAAATATACATACACACATACAACAGCAAACAACCCACTGCCATCAAGTCAATTCCGAGTTATAGCAATCCTGTAGGACAGAGTAGAACTGCCTCATAGGGTTTCTAAATCTGTAATCTTTACGGAAGGAGCGCTGATGGCATAGTGGTTAAGTGCTCTGTTGCTAATGGAAAGGTCGTGGTTCAAACACACCAGCCAATCCAAGGGAGAAAGATGTGGCAGTTTGCTTCCATAAAATAGCCTTAGAAACCCTATGGGCCAGTTCTACTCATAAGGTCACTAGGAGTCAGAATTGACTCGACAGCAATGGGTAATCTTTGTGGAAGCAGACTTCCATATCTTTCTCCTGCAGAACGGCTTGTGGGGTTTTGATCAAGCATGTTTACATCGAAGTGTTTGCAGATCTCAGCCACTGCCTCAGTGCTGTATCCTAGCTACATGAGCTGAGCCTTAAGTTCCCCAATCGCTTCAACTTTCTCTCACCTATCTTTTGGGAAACCACCTAAGCATGCAGCAGGAAGATTAATAATTCCAAATGAGTGTTGAGTGTGAATATGTGTGATGTTTATTTAACTGGCTGACACACACCTTCACTAAGACTTGGTAGGATTGAAAAGTACTTGTTCAAAAGGTTCCTGGTTGTTTGAGGTGATGAAAAAGTTTTGGAAGTAAACAGTGGTGATGGTTGCACAATATTGTGACTGTAACTAATGCCACTCAATCCTACACTTAAAAATCATTAAAATGGCAAATTTTATGTTACATATATTGTACCACAACTAAAATTTTTTTCTTGAAGAAAAAAAATTCTGGAAAACCAGTAGGATTACAATATGGAATAAAAAGGAGGAAGGAGTGCAAGTTTTTGAGGGAAAATGGAAGATGATATTCTACATTATGCAGCTTTTTATCTTCATGTTTGTGGTAAGAGGGGAAAAGAGAGACAAATGATCAATATGTTAGCAAATGAGACTTTTTAATAACTGTGTGTGTGAATGCTAGTCAAAAAGTACCCTTGCTGTTCCAAGACTTAGACTGGAGCTGTTCTGGGCTGCTATTACAATTACTTCATGCTTTTGGCTTTTGGAGGTTGTTCTAACATATATGTAAAAGTATAAAACAGATCAGTACTCCAAAGTGGCACAAAGTGCAAACAGAAGGCTATCCAACAAGTATTTATGCAACGTCTGCTCTATGTTAACATGCAAGGAACAATCTACCTTAGAGAGGAGGATCACTTGGACAGTGGCAGGAGACTTTCCTACTCAAAGTTGGGCCCAGTCTCCATAAAGTTGCTCAGTCTACTGTAGAAGCTGTCATACAGTGTTAACATTTCTGGTAGGGGTAGGTTGTAATATTGAAGGATAGCTAAATAGTTACTCCTTAAACCTGTTTGGTGTGTCCCCAAAGTTTGAAAACCTGACAAAAACCCATGAACAGGGCAACTGTGGACTTTTAGTATGTGTATGTGTTTGGGATGCAAAGGTGTCAAGGTGAGGGAGAACTTAGAATTATTCCTTAGACTCTACCACTTTAAGAGTCTACAAATCTTTGTGTGAAGTCCATTGATCATTCTTTTGCTATGGGGTCCTCAGCATTTAGTGTTTTATCTGTTACTTATGAATTATAGAATGTTAGAGCTGAAAGAAACCTTAGAGGCCATCTTGAAGGATTTTTCTATTACATCATATATTTAAAAGATGTTTAACTTGAACATTTTCCCAAGTATTTGGTGTAGGAGAACATATCTTCTAAAGAACCAGTGCACTTTCATTGCCAAACCATGAAGGTTATACAATACGTCATGTTCTTCTGTTAACTAGGTCTCCAGGAAGCTCTCAGTTAAGTTTAGGCATCTGTATAATGATCATTATTGTTATTTGCACTATATATAATGTATATAGTACAAGTAATATATAGTCTATAATATATATATAGACACACACACACACGCCGGTGAATATATTTTGATTGAAAACCACTTAAGACTCTCTTCGGATATGGACAACGTTCTAATTGAGCCCTACTTTAAAGAAGAAAGAAGTCTAGAAGAGTCAAGTGGCCTATCCAAGGTCATGTATTTTTTAGTTTGTTGTTTATATTGCATCGCCAACTAAATTTTAAGCTTTTCATAGACAGTAAAAAGATCTTCTTTGTCCCCTTGAAGCACATGGCACAGAAATGAATAGAAGTAGTGATAATAAACACCAAGTGAATGAATGCAGGGCTCATATATGCTTTTCCCCATAGACTGATCTTTTCACACCATGTAGATTAGATAACAGTCTTCTACATTAGAGACATGATATTGGTTAGGGGCGGGGTGGGTAGATGGGAGGAAATAAGCTTTTCCTGAGCTCCTATAGAAATATTTATGGTTAAAATTTTAAATTGATAATACTTCGCTTTAACATGTATGAGGTGAAATGAACATTGTCATATGTGATGTGTGGGGATAGATGGGAGGGCAAGTATAATTAGTACATTTCTGGGTAGAAGTTTGACAATATCAGAGCTTTACAGTGTTGATTCAATAGTTCATTCTCATTAGCTCAATAATTCCATTTATAGAAATTTATTCCCAAGAAAATAATCAGAAACAAGGAAAAGGAAAGATTTATAAGCAAGTTTGTTCAATCTAGTAGTATTTATAACATAATGAAATGACATAATAATATACATATTCAAGAGTATAAAAATGGTTAAATAAATTATGGCATAGCCATAGGTTAGGATACTTGTTTCACATTCTTAATTACATTAACTTTGTTAAACCATGTTAAATATTTATGTGTGTGTGTGTGTGTGTATATATATATATATATGACTTTTTTAAAAAAAAAATCAAGAGTAAATATGTTGTTGTTAGGTGCCATCAAGTCAGTTCCAACTCATACCGACCCTATGTACAACAGAACGAAATACTGCTCGGTCTGTACCATCCTCACAATCATTGTTATGCCTGAGCCCATTGTTGCAGCCACTGTGTCAATACATAATATTAATCACCATTATCTTTGGATTGTGGGGTTATAGGTAATATTTATATTTTTCTATAACTTCCAGATTGCAATGAGTATACTCTCATAAAAAGAAAAAAATGACAATTAAAAAAATTTTAACTTTCTGAGACCCTGAATTCAATGGATAAAGCCCAGAACTTACCCTAGAGGATAAGGAAAGAAGGATTTTTTTCTTTCTTTCTTTTATGGGCTTGTTGGGCACATCAGTGTCACCAGCAGTTCATTTCTGCCACACAGGGATCTGGTGTCTCCACCTTTCCGAGGTGTGTGAGGGCTGTGGCTATGGGCTGGGAAAGGCTGGCTGTCCAAGGTTCAGGGTAAGGCTGAGATAACTAGCTCTCTCTTTTTTTTTTGCTCCCTCCTCTTCCAGAGCATGCAGAGGATTATCACCCACAGAATAATAACATCTTCCAGTTGTAGAGAAGTATACAGTTGTCAAGGTGCTTTTAATCATGTTGTAGTTCACTGAATTGTCACAACTTGGAACGTCTCACCTGGAAGTTATTTTTATGCTTAGATGACAGGTGAGAATACTGAATTTAGAGAAAGTATGAAGATTGTTGAATAACATACAAGATAGTTACACACTGAATCCTGGTCTGGCTTGTACAAAAGTCTCTGCCCTGTGTCCCAATACATTTGAAAGACAACTCTGATTGAAATACTGTTGACCTCTTTTTTGAGAGAGAAGAGGCAGATGTGTAAGCACTACAACATTACTGCTCATCTCTTAACTCCTAAAATACTCACACATGCCTACAGCAGTGCTTTTTCCTCGCAGTCCGCGAAGAAGTAAACTGAACAAAGAAATAAGGATTTATATTGTGGGTTCAAAATGACATGTTGTATATACATCTACTGTTGCCACATAAACACACACCAGGTACACACTGTCTAAGCAGCAGATATCTTGGTTGATAGAAATGACAATTTATGTTGCTAGGAAAGAAAAGGACCTCAGGAGGCATACTCACCCAAACCCAACAATTTGATTTGTCTGATCCTTTACAGGATGTAGAAGAAGAGTATACAGGGAAGTTCAGGCAGCTTGCTTGAGATTTCTCAGTTCAATTTTTGGAGTTCCCTTTGAGGCAAATCCTAAGGGGTAAAAAAAAGGAAAAAATGCTATAAATGTTTTCTATTTCCATGTAATTTTCATATGCGCATTAGAAACTGGGGGACATTTTCTTCAGAAAAACAAATTACCATTACTCTATCCCACCCTTCACAAACCATGAAATGCTACCCTTCATTCTTCCTCCTATCCTTGACGAAACAAGGAACCGTACTAAAAAAAATATGACCAATTTCCTTCATTTGTTGTATTTTTCTTGCTACCTTCTTTAGGACACTCATGGCTTCAAAATGAACATGATGTTTAGGAAGGAATACCAATGTCTTATGCTTATATACTCACAAAAGGAAGACACAGTGCCCTTTACTGAGATGACAATATCTAGCTCATGGGTTGCCCTCCCCATCTGGGGACTATTGCTCACTCACTGGCGGATCATCATCAGTCTTTACTGCTGAATTCAGATGGGGTCTCAGAAACTACTGAAACAAGTATGCCAACCATCCACTCACTACCAATTCATCAGAGTTGGTCTGAAAGTTACTTGTTGTTCTGGCCGAAACACCTGAGGATGTTGTCAGCATGGAGAGTCCTATGAAAATTATGACTTGGGGTCCTAAGATAACCTTAAAAGTCATGACACGGAAAATACTGGAATGCAGGGGACTTAAGCTCAATATAAAGATATTTCAGGTAATGTATTTCAGACATTAAAATGTACCCTAAGCACAAACATTTACTTATATTTCACATCTGAAAAATAACCCACCTGACTGCGAGAATATTCTTTCCCAACTACTGAGAGCCCTCATCAAGCCACCTGAAACTCCAGGTAAGTTCTAAGTGACCAAATTTAAAACATTCACTGTGGCACAGTGACTACAACACCGGACTGGGAGTTTGAAGACTAGAGCTTTCCTTCTGTTCATTCCACCTCTGCCCTGCCTCGCTCTACGATCTTAGGTAAATCATTTCACCTGTCAAAGCCAATGTTTGCTCTCTTGGAAAAAAATAAACAAGTTGGATGATCAGTAACTTTCAAACTGTTGTTTTGTTTTGCCTTTTTTTTTTAATGCATAGTATCCTTTCTTACACCAAAAATTTATCCTAGATGGAGAAACAAATAGAACCAATAAAACAGGAGCTAGCTGAAATGGAGACAGGGAGTGAAGTGGAGAGACACCTCCAGTTCACCACACCCCTTCAGCTCCATCAGCCACTGTGGCTCACGGGGGACTTTTTGAACTCCATGGAGCACAGTTTTGAACCGGCCAGATTAAATGGCCTCTAAAGGCAGCTAGCCACCACCCATCTGTCACTTTGTCATACTATGGTGGCTTGTGTGTTGCTATGATGCTGGAAGTTATGCCACCAGTATTTTAAATATCAGCAGGGTCACCCACGGTGGACAGGTTTCAATGGAGCTTCCACACTAAGACAGACTGGGAAGAAAGCCCTGATGACCTGCTTCGAAAATTAGCCAATGAAAACTTTATGGATTACAACAGAATATTGTCCATTATAGTGCTGGAAGATGAGCCTCCTAGGTTGGAAAGCACTACACGATAGTCCTTAGATGACAGGACCAGGTTAACATTTTGTTCTGTTATGCATAAGGTCATCATGATTTGGAGCTGACTCAAGAGCAACTAACAGCAACAAGAAAGTCAGCTACAGCTCCAAAATTATTCCGCCGTAGCAATCTTTATATCAGAATGACTAGTAAAGAATTCAGTGAGATTCATAACTTTATGGTAACACACGCAATAAAACTAAACCATGACCTGGTTTTAATCCTTATTATCAATGAGCTACTAAAAAAGAGCTACGCCTTCAAATAAACAGTAGATCAGTAGCTGCTGAACTATTTACCTCTCAAAACATGTAATCCTCACCCAAGCTTAAATGATGACTTCCTCAGTGCTGCATCATGGATAATACTTAATAGTCAACATCACAGCATTGGATAAAACTATGAAAATGAATGTGCAAGTTACAAGAAGGTGGCCTTGAAATTAATTGTACACTGTTGAGGCAGCCAACTAAAACTTAGAATCCTGTATAGCTCACTTCCTAGATAAGCGAATCTGGAAAAACTTATTCGACTTTTTTGAGCCTCAGTTTTCACATCCATAAAGTGGAAATAAGTCCTACCTTGAAGGGTTGTTGTGGAGAAAAGAGAAAAATGTTCAGAAAGCACCATTCCTGGCACATATTATTTGTAATGGTAAAGTTTTCCCCTTTTAAAAAAAATATCATGACTCCACTGGTCTCACCCCTTCTGGAGGAAGAGAGAATGAAGAGAACTAAAGATGCAAGGGAAAGATTAGTCCGAAGGACTAATGCATCACATCTACCATGGCCTCCACCAGACTGAGTCCAGTACAACTAGATGGTGCCCGGCTACCACCACCAACTACTCTGACAAAGATCACAATAAAGGGTCCCTTACAGAGCTGGAGAAAAATGTAGAACAAAATCTATCTCACAAAAAAAGACCAGACTTACTGGCCTAACAGAGACTGAAGAAACCCCAGACACCCTTTCAGCTCAGTAATGAAGTCACTCCTGAGGTTCACCGTTCAGCCAAAGATTAGACAGCCCCATAAAACAAAATGAGACTAAATGGCCACAACAGCCCAAGGACAAGGACTAGAAGGCAGGAGGCGACCGGCAAGCTTGTAATAGGGAACCCAAGGTCAAGAAGGGAGAGTGTTGAGATGTCGTGGGGTTGTTAACCAATGTCATAAAGCAACATGTGTACTAACTGTTTAATGAGAAACTATTTGTTCTGTAAACCTTCATCTAAAGTACAGTGAAGGAAAAAAAATCATAGTAATTGGCATGTAAATGCTATTAATTGAATGCAAATTACTATATAAGTGAAACAGGATTCCTATAGTTTTGTGTTATACCTTAAATAAAGAGGGAAAAAAGGATCATTGATGTGCCTCTCATGGCGATTCAAGTAACACAGAAAATTTTCCCCAAATAAAACACTTGGGCTAAATTGTCTGCTTCCAGAAAAAGATCTGATTTTTCAGCATGATTCTAAAACACAATCTATTTGATAAAAATTTTAATAGTAATTATTTTTAAAAATCTACATTTTTAATCTATATCTATACAATAAGCCAAAACGGTTTTTAATTTCATAAAAGAGTGTTCCTGATGTCAGATGCCATTCTATCCCTTACTTTTTCAAGCAGGGATAATAGATGGAAGAGTGTGGATGTGAGTTTGGGAAGCATGTCCCCAAAATTCATGCATTCTTTCCATTTTCCTCCACAATACATCCATATTTGTTTTGGCATAAGAATTGTCAAGCAGAACCCCTATGCCATGTTTGTCCTATGGCTTCACATTATTTCTGGTGCAACACTGGGTCCCCCAGGGCACACAGGTTGAGAAGCCCAGCTCTAGTCCAAAGGCCTGATTTAAGTGCAACAGAACTGCCTTACCGAAGGTTACATAAAGTGGTAGCAAATGTATTAATAAGATTTGTGGGACCATTCCTAGAGAAAAGAAATGGTTTCCAGGCTTGACTGGGTGCATTAAGTCATTCCAACCCCCTCACCCATTCCTTGCACTGTGAGACAACTATGGATTTTGCTTACTACATCATGAAGTCTTTATGAAGATCAGCTTGGAGTGAATTCTTGATTCAAGTGGGAGGAAAAGCTATACTGAACTGAACTGGTTTGTTTTGATTTTTTTCAGGCATGTGAATCTTAGGGATGCTCATGGTTCCCTTTTTGGCCCATCTTCAACAAGTGGCTGGATGTGGGGGCTAACATTTGTGGGACTTTGTGATGCCCATAGCATCATCTTATTTTGCCTACCCTGATTTTTTTGCCCCCCTCTTCTTTCTTTATCTCATTGTAGCATATGTAGTTTTGAAAGCTTTTTCAAATCTGTTTTTGGAAGGAGGCAAGATATAAATAAGTACATGAAACTGATACAGCTCTCTTTTTCAAAAAGATGCTCCAGTTTAATTTCAAGTCCCATGTCATGTTCTACTTCTCTCAACTCTGAGTCACAAACCTAGGTTCAAAATAACCTTCTCACCTCCATCTTCCATCAAGAAACGTAAAATCAGGAATTCTATTTCTTAAAAACAAATCCTCTCCTATGATAAACGAATTGCCCTCCCCGAGGGATGCTGGTTAAAAAACAAACACACAAACAAACAAAAAAAACCTCACTGCGTCCAGTTGATCTGACTCATGGTGACCCCATGTGCTACAGAGCAGAACTGAGTTCCAGTGGGTTTTCTTGGCTATAATCTTTACAGAAGCAAACTGCCAGGCCTTTCTGCATCCAGTCGATCTGACTCATGGTGACCCCATGTGCTACAGAGCAGAACTGAGTTCCAGTGGGTTTTCTTGGCTATAATCTTTACAGAAGCAAACTGCCAGGCCTTTCTCTGGTACTGCTGGGTGGGTTCGAACTCCCAACCTTTCGGCTAGTAGCCAAGCACAAACCGTTTGTGTCACCATGGATGCTGGTACATGAGCCTAAAGCTGCCAGGAGACCACTAGGCCAAGGGTCAGGTGACACGGTTCTAATTTTCACTCTGCCACCATGGCACAGTTTGACCACGGGCATACCACTTAACTTTCTGGACCTCAGCTTCCTCATCTGTAAACTGAACCTGATATTAACACCTCACTTGAGAGTTACTTTAAGGATAAAATACTACACACATAAGCATCTTGTCATGCCAGCCAGCATCTAATGCCTGGACTGCAGTAGCCTCCAACTGGCTTTATCCTATCCACTCTTGGCCCTGCAGTCAAGCTCACACTGCAGCCAAGGTGACCTTTAAAAATGTAAAATTTGATCATTTTCACCCTTCTGCTCAAATCCCTATACTCTATTCCCCAAACCAAAACCAAACCCACTGCCTCGAGTTGCTTCCGACTCCTAGTGACCCCACTGGGTTTCTGTCTTAGTTATCTAGCACCATTATGGAAATACCACAAGTGGATGGCTATAACAAAGAGAAATTTATTCTTTCACA